TTAACTTTTTTCCAGGTGTATATTTACATACAAGTATTTTATAATTCAAAACAATCGATCATTTTATATTTAAGTTAATGGTAATATAATCTTCATTACATTTTTTAAGTTTCACAGTGAGTTGGTTTCTATTACAAATCTCTTGTGCTCTTAAAATGTGGTTATACTATTATATTTACATTTTAATAAAGTACAGTTTTTTTCTGAGTTACAACCAAACCTGTAACCAGTTCTAGAAGTAAAAGGGGGGGGGGTCTTTTTAGTCTAAAGTGTAACGTTAGTGCCCACGGACAATTTTTTTTTCTAAAATATGTAACAGTTCTTTTATTATCACTGCAAAATACATTTCTGGTAAATTTCCTCTGATAAGTATGAAAATGCTATTTCCACATGTATGAACAGCATTACAAAAGCAATTATATAATGAGAGGCCTTCATCAGAAAAAGGACAAAAAATAGCCAAGTGGAACTCCAGTGGGAATGGAGGGTTCGTTTTCACCTCCCCAAACTGACTATGGGCTTGGCTACAACATGGTTCACTACAGTATATTTTTTGGTCCATAACTTTTACAAATAGTACTATACATGAATGTCTCTGAACCCGTATAAAACAATTCCCAGTAGTGTAGATGTGCACAGAAGTTTTTTCCTGTATAGCTTTCAAGGAACAATGTAAGTTGAAATCACACATGACAATCAATTCACACTTGTACAGCTAAAACTTACTCCAATGGCACAGAAAACAGTTTATCCAACTTCTCAGTGTTTTACGAAGGTTCACACACACAAAAAAAAACTATTACATACATATACATACCCAAAATTCTCAGTGCTTGATGATGATTCAATATTAAACTCTGCTACTGGCATGCCTCTTGCAGCAACTTCTGGTGCAAACATGGCAGCTGGATACACAACTGAGGATGTACCAATCTGGTGAAGCAAAGATCTTAATAAATGTCTTTTATTTGTACAGTTCTAACAACTTTATTACATATTTCATCCCAGGTTGAATTCAACCACTTGAGCAATTTTATTCCTTCAAGATCAAACTTTATTAATGTCTTAAGTTTCCTATAAGAGCAATACCAAGTTAAATCAGTCTTTTGCTTTTTCCCTGCCTTACTTAACTGTATAAAAGATCACTTGTTCTTCAACAGATAGTGATTAATATTTAATAACACTAAATTAACAAATTGTATTCTGAAATACTTACAATTACACCTGTGGGTAAATGTAGCACAATAACAAAGACTGCCTCAAATATCACAAAAGAGTTTGGAGAACATGTATTTTTGTTGTTGTTGTTCAGTTATAGGTCTGACAGTTTATTATTGATAAAAGTTAACTTTTTCTTAACCCCCTTTTTTCATGTACTTGCCTATATCTTGTAGAAAAATAAAACATAAAAATTATTTAACCCTAAGACACAAAATCATAAAACTCAAGCTAAGTGTATCACTTAACAATTAAATAAGAATCAAAGAGTGTCATATTAGATTGTAAAATGTAATTATTAATCACAATACTTTTATCATTTAAGCAGCATTTTGACTGGCCTGTTAAATTCAGTAATTACAATTGAATTAAACTTGGTGAGTTTCAAACTCTAGTACTTAAATTAACATATAGATATTATGTATAAATTTATATTATTCTCTAGACAACAAGAAAAAGGTGGAATTACATACTTTCAAATCATATTTTCAGTTCAACTAATATAATTAAAAGGTTATTTATCAACAGTTCTTGAAGTTTTATTAAGTTTATTTTGTAAATAACATCAGATTTTCCAGTGTGTTATACATAATTTACAATTTTGATAAGCACAAAATGTTTTAAGAACAAACTAGCATAATCAGTTTTGGTGTCCAACCACAACAGCTGGACATAGGGTAACAGTTATTCACATTTAAAAAATGCATAAGGGCTGTTAAAAAAAAAGTCCCCATTAAGTCTTGTTTGTTTGTTTTGAATTTCTCGCAAAGCTATACGAGGGCTATCTGCACTAGCTGTCCCTAATTTAGCAGTGTAAGACTAGAGGGAAGGCAGCTAGTCATCACCCCCACCTCCAACTCTTGGGCTACTCTTTTACCAATGAATAGTGGGATTGACTGTCACATTATAATGCCCCCACGGCTGAAAGGGCGAGCATGTTTGGTGTGACGGGGATTTGAACCCGCGACCCTCAGATTGCGAGTCGAGCACCCTAACCACCTGGCCATGCCGGGCCCCCATTAAATCTATGGAGATAGTTAGCTAGCTGATGCTATATCTTGATTCTTTGGATTGTCTGCAGTGTATAGTTTTTCTGTCAACAAAATAGTTTTACTGCATAAACTGAAATATATTTACAGTGTGTCACCAAGCCAAAACAACCTCCAATTAGTATTGCAGTCCTTGTGGCCTCATGTTATGCAGATAGTTCATCAAGTTCAATTTAGGTCACAATCATATTTACCAAAACTCTTTGATAGTCTGAACTTGCTAATAATTAATATCCATTTTTGTAACTTAAACATTAACTTAGTTCTTCAGTTACAAATATTTTATGTCTACATACAACAATAGTTGGTTCAAAAACTGTATTACTGTACTTGTAACATTGCTAGTCTAAGCCACTTAAAATTAAAGTATCAAAGTCATAGCAGCCAACAGGGTCATACAGAATTATCTGTGCGCTTGTCTGTGTACACAAACAATAGCTAACTGCATGGTAAAAGTCATGACAAACAACAACAGGATTTGAACTCAAAAGTATTTTTTGGTAAGAATAAAAGGATCATTAATGGGCCCAAAAAAGTGGGTGTCATAACAGACTTGAAATGGACTCTGACAAGACCTTGCAAAACTCATTTTTGGGAATCATTGTGATAGCACCCGTCAAACATGAAAGACTGGGAGAGAATATTGATCACAAAGTGCTATGTTAGATATGCCCTAGAAGAAAAAAAGGTGAAGTTGTTTGGAAAAAAAGTATGTTTTTATGTAAACACATGATTAATTTCTATAAGAGGATTTAAGATAACAGAACTTGTATGTTGAATGTAAGAAAAAAGAATTACCCCTATAACTGAGAAAAACAATTCAAAATTTAAGTGTGAATTACTCAACAATTTAAAGAAAATCCTACTGGCAGGAACAATATATCTTGCAATAATTAAAAATAAATAGACTCACCACCAGACATAGATCACAGCTGTCTAATTCCTTCTGTGCATTCATTAAGACATCAGGATCTAAGGATTCTCCAAACCACACTACATGGGGGCGCAATAAACCAGTGCATTTCTTACATCTGGAAATAATGCAGTAAATATGATTTGAATATGTTTTTTTAAATCTGCAAAGAATTTACACAACATTTATCTTTTTTTGTAATAGTAATAAGCATCAAGTACTTTATAAATAATAATATGTAGAAACAAGACCTCTGAGCATTTTATCAAGAAAGATAATGAAAATTTATGCATTAATTTCTACTTAAAAAACATTAGCCGTCAGCAACCATTTATTTTAGAAATTTTTAGGACCTAAATCAGGTTAAACATTAGATATACAGTTGTTACTAGGAGGAACTATATTGAATTTAATATGGCCAATAAACATCTAATCTATACGGATGTTATAAGAAACTATGTACAATCTCTTAAGAGCAATGTAAACAGCTTGAATATGCAAGTATGATTATAAAGCACTTATCCAATCTATTAGTTTAAAAAACAAATGGGTGTAACTAGTGCGTTAATTACCAGATGAAGATAACAAAATTAAGGTGAATGAACAACTTAAGAACAAAAATATTGAAAGGATCCTAAGGTTATTCTAATAAAGTGAATGAACAACTTAAGAACACAGATGTTGAAAAGATGCTAAGATTACTCTAATAAAGTGAATGAATAACTCAAGAATACAGATGTCTAAAGGATGCTTATCTCATAAGGTGAATGAACAATTGAAGAACACAGATGTTGAATGGATGTTAAGGTTAATCTAATAAGGTGAATGAACAACATAAGAACACAATTGTTCAAGGATGCCAAGATTATTCTAATAACGTGAATGAACAATTTAAGAATACAGATGTCTAAAGAATGCTAAGGTTAATCTCATAAGGCGAATGAACAACTCAAGAACACAGATGCTGAAAAGATGCTGAGGTTAATCTAATAAGGTGAATGAAAATGAATACTGATGTGTCTCAAGAGATGTGCAGTCAGTGAACAACATAGTAATACAGATGTGACAAGGGCACACTAAATTGAATCTATAAAAATCAATGAATCGCATAGCTACACGGCTGCTACTAAAGGGCACTACACATACACAATTGTATATGTTTGTTTGTTGTTAAGTGCAAAGCTACACAATGGGCTATATCTGTCATGTACCCAATATGAGTATTAAAATCCAGTTTTAGCGTTATAAGCCTTCAGATTTACCAGTCAGGGGGGTTTAAGCATTTTTAGCTAGTAAGTAACTGCAGATCCAAAAATAAGATTTATAATGCACTATTTATTACAGAAAATAAAGAAAGTTGGGGAAACAGGAAATTAGGACATCAAATAGTGACAAAAGGTTGGCTGAAAATGTAAAAATTAACAGTAAGGATTTCTGTAAATACATTAAGGTAAACAAAATGTTAGGATGGGGGGTAGGAACCTTGAGGGATGATAAAGGAAGGCTAGTATCTGATGATTATGAGATGGCTGGGTTATTAAATTTAGCTTTTTTTTCAGTTTTACTAATGTGGAATACTGCTTAAATCTTCATCTTGAACAGTTGATAACCGGAAATGAAATCAAACAAGATGACTGCATTAATTCTGACCTGGTTAAGAAAAAAATTGGGAAGTTTGAAAAATTATAAGGCTCCTGGTTTAGATAATATTTCCCCAAGTGTTTTGAAGGAGGTTAAAGATCGGATATGTGAGCCACTTACTATTATCTTTTGTCAGTCCTTGAATAGTGAGCAGGTACCAGAGGACTGGACATTACGTAATATAATTCCTCTTTTCAAGGGAGGTGATAACAATTGTCCCAGTAATTATAGACCCATTAGTCTTATATCAGTTGTGGGAAAAGTTTTGGAAAGTCTGTTAAAAGATGCTTTGCAAAGTCAGTTAACAAAGTTTAGAATTTTATTGGATAGTACATCATGGTTTCACTAAGG